CATGTGGTATGGAGTTGTTGAACTCTACTAGGAGCTATGGGAGCTGTAATACTGCAGTGTTGCCGTGTAGTGCTTGGAACTGCAAAATCAGGAGTTGAAAAACACAGAGGAGGAGCCAGAGTAAGCAGATTACTCATTAGCAGATCCACTAGGGCAAGCAGACAAGTAGTGAAACAAGGATACTGCCTTTTCCAAGGACTTTAACTCCATTCATGCTATTGAAGACTTTCCCTTTTGTTGTCATGAGTTTGTTTTCATGAAAAGAGGGATTGACCTTCAGAGGGTGGGAGAATAAGAATATTATTCTCTTGGTAAACCAACTCATGTGGGTCTCTTTTTTGTTTTACCAATATTTTAATAATTTTTGTTTTGGGTAGAGCTATGAGGGGGTGAGGGATGTTTAAGTTCTTTGTGTCAAGACAGACTCCTGTAAGAACCAAGGCAAAGTTGAGCCTAGGGAACGTTATATAATTGTATATTGTTGGTGGTGTGGGGTATGCGTTGTCTCCATAGATGCCCATTTATTTGAGGATTGATGCATGTTATGGTTGTAGGCTGTTAATTTTGAAGGGTGACCATGGATTATGAAGAAGGTTTCAGGATTTTATAAACTGCTATGGATTGTTGGGTGGGTAGGGTATAGTTTAAAGCACTGAGGAAGGTATTCATAAAAGAAAACAATTTAAGTCTTACCTTGTATGCTCTTCTTAAAACCCTGAATCCTTCCCATATTCAGAGAGAGATACTTGGAAAAGGGAGTTTTTGGAAATTAGTTACTAAGCCCTCTGGCAAGATTACTGAATGAGGTAAAATTTATTATAGAGGAGGCAAGGGGTGGGGGAGTATAAGAAATACTGAGATCAGAAAGTAAGACAACCTTCCTCTTTGGTCAGTAGCTCAATGCCAACAGAGTACCTGGAGACAGTGTGTATATGAGGGGGGAGGAGGGGCTGTGTATTTACTTGGAAAGGAAACTTTTGCTACCTGACTAGAACATGCCATATGTGAGATAAGTCTGGCAGGGAAGTGATGCAGAGAAATATAGGTAGGATATTACTAGAAAACCTGAGGGGATATGTTCTTTGCACCTTGAAGATAGAATGCCATGAACTTTCAATTCTCACATTTGCCAGTTGATGACAATGAGAGGACATTTTAATGCCTCCCAAGAGGAGAGAGAGATAGTTTCCCGCTTTGTGCAATGATCAGAGTGTAGACTTTCACAGAGAACAGTGACGATAGGGGCTGTGGCAGGGGTGGTAGGTGGACTTAAGTGATCAGGGGACTTTAGAGGATGATCACCTGTTGTCACACCTCTTGCTGCTGCCTTTGACCCACCTCCTACTCCCCAACTACTTGGAATCAGTTTGATGGATCTATGGATAAGGCAATTTTCCAGGACTGATCTAAAAAAAAGATCGAGAATTATGGAGTTGTTGAATTATGTTTACTAGTCCTTGTACTCATCCTGTATTTGACTAAAATTGTGATAAACCCCTGACTCTTAAGCTGAGTTTTTCTCAGCCAATCATTACATTCTTCCTATGCTAGAGTTTCTGAAGGTGATTTTCTCTAGAAGTCTCATGGTAGTGGGTTCAGTGCTTTACCAGTGATCTCTGCTATTTTTCACTAGCCTCCTGTAAGCTTCTGGTACTGAGATCCAGCTTTCTAATTGCAGGTCTCTGCTAGTACTTTGAGTATGTTGCATTGGCCTCAAATCAATGCCCAAACACTGGATACAAATGCCTCTGTTTGGCACAGAAAGCCATTTAGAATCTGGTCCAACCTATCTTTTCAAACATTGCACATTAATTCCCCTCAGGCACAGTGTTCCAGCCAAATGGACCTATTTGCTGTTCCCCCAGAATATTCTAATTCTCTCCTCTAAGACTTTGTGCTGACTGCTTGGAACGTTCTTCTTCTTTGCCTCCACCTCTCAGAAACTGGATCCCTTCATGGTTCAGTTTAGGTGCCTTCTCGTACAAGAGGTCTTTCCTAATCTTCCAATTGTTAGTGCTCATGGACAAACACAAATGAGTTTGCATTTTCTTAGCTGTTTCCGTTTTGCATCCCACTCCCAGCAGAATTCTACAGACAGCATAGGTTGGCAGATGCTAATGTCCTAAAGTTGTCAAATTATATGGGTTATCCTCATTGAGGCTTTTTGAAGTATATGGCCCACATGGTACCTCAGCAGGGAGTGAGTACTAACCTCAGAAGCACTAATCTCAGTTGTCCCTTCTTTTCCACTCATGATATCACCATCCTACTTGAAGTCCCATACTCTCTCATCTGGACTATTATAATATGCTTCTTTGTTCTCCCTGTCTAGAGCCTTTCCTAACTCTACTTCTTTTTACCCAGCAACCAAATTAATCTTTAGAAATCTTCAGTGATTCTTTCTTGCCAACAACATAAAATACAAAGCCCTTAGCCTAATATTTAAGGCCTTCTGTAGTCTGGAAGTTCCAACCTACTTTCCATTAACTGAATTAATGGGGAAGCCTTGTGTCTTTCACTCCACTATGTTTGTGCATACAAATTCTCCATCAAAGATACTCATTCCAAGCCTCAGCCTGTTGTTGAAAGGCCATGTAGCATAATGAATAGAGCCTTGGGCCTGGAATCAGGAAGACCTGGGTTTGAATCCTGCTTCAGTTATTTACTTAGGTGTAGAAAGGGCATGTAGGCTGGAGCTATGTCTCAATTTCCTCATTTATAGAATGGGAATAATAATAAAACTTAGCTGATAGGGTTGTGGTAAAGATCAAACAGAATCAAAATTGCTGTCAAAGTTTTGTTTTCACTGAAGAAAAACCTATGAAAATCTATTAGTTCTGACACAAATACCTCCTTCCCAATATTATCAAGCAACAAATCTGCTGGCACTGTAACTTTGGTTATTTCACATACTATGGTTTTAATGATGGAAAAGCAAAAACAGAAACAAAACCAACCCAGAAGTCTTTGAATATGATAACTGATGCACCTTGCTTTTGTTTCTTTCATAGGCATGAAGTTGATTTAAACTATAATCAACTCTTAGTTATCCACATGTAAAGTAGCCACCTTGTAGATTATATGTACCATGATGGTAATTCTAAATCAGTTCAGCCTTTTCCCCCTGCTTTCCATACTTTAGACCACCTCTTCTTATTGCCTAGGCAACCTGTACTCCAGGAGCAAGGATAACACAATTAGGGAGGTAATTTGCTAGGAAAAAAAATGAAGATTACATTATATTCCAAGGACAAATAGAATCATGGGATCTGAGTAGAAGGGACCTCCAAGGTACTCTTGTGCAACCCAAACCTGAAGAAGTATTTTCTCAACAATATCCCTGTCCAGGTCATCCAGCCTTTGCTTCTCTTTTACAGTGATGGGGAGCTCATTGAGACATAAGACATAACACAGTCTAATATACTTTTATTGACTCCGATTGCTAGGGATTTTTTTTTATATTGAGCTGAAAGTTGATTTAAGAGCAAAAGTGAATGTTAGGTCACTTGTAAAACTTATTTACATATTTAATTTTTTGAAAAATTGTGTTTTTACATCTCATAATTGTTCTGTTCCATTAGACTATAGAATCCCAAAGAGAGCGATATTGCCTCCTGAGGGGTGCTAGAACGATTCAGGGGGTTGTTAGCAGCCTTGGGTACAATTGGGGAACATTGAATAAAAATACAGGGGCTGTAGAAGCATAAAGAAAGAAGAGAAAATTTTTAAAAACCATTTGTGCATGTTTCATCTGTTGTGTAACAATTAAAGTCATAGTGATTACATTATTTTCCATATAAACACACAAAATTGAAGGTATAACTGATCAGTGGTCAAGTTCACCAACAGGTTGTAACAAGCAGGTGTTGGTAGGTGAGCATGTCAGGCATTGTTAGGAAGTTCAGCATGCGTTGGCAGCACTGTGTATGTGTAATGATTTGTTTACAACACGCTATTATATGGTTACATGACACAACAATAATGTCATCAAAATTTCAATGCAGGGAAAACCCCCCACAAATTTACAATAAATTATTAAATTTAAGATTTGTCATTTCAATACATATATATATACACACATATATATGTGTGTATATATATATGTATGTATGTATGTATGTATGTATATATATATATATATATATATATATATATAAATAAAAACAAAATATATAGAAATGACAGAAATTTTAAAAAAATTGAAGGGTTAAATAAAGTATATTTCCAGGGGGGCTCTGAGTAATTTTTTTAAAAGGGGTTGGTAGGCCAAGTAAGTTTGGTAACCTCTGCACTAGATAGTTTCCAAATCATCCTTTTTGTTTTGTCCAGTTGTCCTCTGAATGACCAAGCACCCCTATTTAGGAAGGGACCATTGACCTAAACAGAAGGGCCTGAAAATGTTTCTTTAAACAACGTCAGCCTTAGACAAAGAAGGTCTTATCAGTTTTGTGAGGTCACAGCCCTGAAACAATTCTATTGCATCCTGAAACTTAATACACCAGAGCATTGCTATAAACACTGTACTAGTGAGTCAAATCCAAAATTGCCTGACTGCATTTTGGCAAATTCTGAAAGATTTTTCCCTTTCAAATCTGTTTCCCTATTTCCTGATTGACAGTAAGAAGTATTATTCTCAGTACAGAAGACATTTGGGCTATAGACATGTCATAGTGCCATTCTAAGAATCTCCCTTTGGCTCATCCCTTTGCTTTGGGTGAGCATTTACACTATTCACTGGAGGAGCTGGACTCTAGCTTAGGTGATTAGTTCTAGAAACACTTGTGAAAGTAGCAGTGCACTTACTAAATATTTTGAAGATTATTCATGTCTAGAAAAGTCTGGCTTCAGGTTTTGACCAAAAAAAGAGTGACACAAGCAGAAATAAGCCCATTTATTTTGATTATTTGCTCAAGTAAACTCTCATTGCAATGTGGATATTAATAAACTCTTCATTTGAACATAGAGTACTCACCTCACACTGTATTTTTGTTTCATTTTAGTTCTTTTACGAAGCTCCCTCATTTGGCAGGAACAAAGCAAAATTTTCATCTTGCAGAGCAAATCCAAAGTCAGTGGAAGAAATTTGGACTGGACTCTGCTGAGTTGGTTTATTATGATGTCCTTCTATCTTACCCTAATGAAACAAATCCCAACTATATCTCAGTTGTTGATGAACATGGAATTGAGGTGAAGTGGAACTATAATTATTCTTTAAATTATACAAGGTTATTTTATAATGAATTAGCAAGTGGAATGGATCAAAATCGGAATTGTTGTCAGTTTGGGGTGATGTGAGGGCTAAAGTTCAGGGTTAGATCATTTCTAACTGTGGGATCAGGGAAGCTTTCATGGTCAAGTTGATTTTGAGACAGACCTTAAAAGACTGGTATAATTTTAGTAGGCATAGAAAGGTAGCATGAGGGGAGAATATGCCAGATCTAGGAGACATTCTGAACAAAGTCAAAGGTGGGGGGAAGAGGAGAATATGCATGGCGGGCAAGAAGTAGTCTAGTTTGTCTGGGGCATATAGGATGTGTAGAGAACAAGATAAAATATAAAAGGCATTGAGGTACCAAGTGGTATAGGAATGTATATATCAGGATAAAGAGTTTAAACTTTATTTATTTGGCAATAAGGACTCATTGAAGGGTTTTAAAAAGTGATTGACGTGATAATGCCTGTGCTAAAGAAAGATTAATCTGGAAGTGGTGTGAAGGATAGATTGAAGAGGAAAGAGAAGTGGAGGCAAGAAGATGGATTAGAAGGTGTTTACAGTGGTCTGGCCATGTGGTAATAAAGGCAAGTAGAATGGTAGCAGTGCAAGTGGAAAGGAAGAAACTGATTCAAGAGAAAGTGGGACTTATGGCTTGTTGAATTTGAGTGATTGAGGTAGAGGGCATTGATGGAGACACAAAATATCAAACATTAGTGACTGGGTGAATGCTCCAGTGATGGCATTGATAGAAATAGAGATGGTACTATGATGTTATGAATGAGAAGTGGTTTTGGGGGTGAAGATAATAAGTTGGGTTATGAACATTTTGAGTTGGTGATTACAATAAATTTTTTCTTCAGTGCCCTTAATGCAATTTTCTCATTGAATTACACGTGGCACTAAGGGTAGGATTGGGAGCATTGCATTTTTATGTATACTTCTGAGCAAAATGGGTTATTATTTAATAACATAGAGCCATCTATTAAAATTTATTACATCTTCCTTCCTAGATTTTCAATACTTCATTCTTTGAGATACCCCCAGGTGGATATGAAAATGTTTCAGAGATTGTCCCACCATATAATGCTTTCTCAGCCCAAGGCATGCCAGAGGTAAAGTAAACTATATGGCCTTTTGAAATCTTAAAAAAATGTATTTGATGATATGAAATCTTGTGTAGAGATCTACGCTCATGTTATTGACTGACTCACCTTGAGGAATCACCTTGTAAGTTTACATTAACATTTCATACATAGACTAAGGTTCAGTGAAGCACAGGCACTGGGGAATTAGATACTGTCCTTAGAAGTAAGAAAGAGATAAATTGTTGAATACACCCTTATAGTCAGAAAAGGTTATCTGCTCTTGCATGGTAAAGTATTATAACTCTTTTGTGTTTAGAGCCTTTCCATTTCCCCCTCCTCCCACCTCCTTCCTGATTGGTGAGTGTGACATATAATAATGGACATCTGTGTCTAAACAGGCTCTGGCAGCTATGCTTCTCTTTACTCTCTGGCCATCTTCTCATCTGCCTCCCTGCTGCCCGGTACATAACCTATGCTCCCTCCCTTTCCCCTTTCTAATTCAGGAACTGTAATCAAATCAGTATTGTCATTGCTCCTTGAAAGAGTGTGTCAATTGAATCCCTCATGACTACAGTCGTTCCTGTAATTTTCCAAACCACAATACCCCAATCATGTTTGTGCCAGAGGGAAGCCATTACTCGCCTACTATTGTGATATCTTCTTGTATAAGAATATAAGCTTTTTGAGGGAAAACACTGGTTTTTGTTTTTATTTTCCATTTGCATCCCCAGTGCTTAGAGCAGTGAGTGCTTGGTATATAGTGAGTATTTAATTATTTTTCATTCATGCATTTTGAGCTGACTTTTGATCTTTTTATAATAGAAATTCTTAAAATAATGCTATGGTTAGATTTTAAAAACATATTTTATTTTTTCAGTTTCTTATAATTCAAGTAAGCCATTAAGATCACTTGAAACTGAATTATTAAATTATTGAAGCATCTTTTCCATGTGTTGTCACTTTCCTGACATAGCAAGTCGCCAATATAAATACGGCCCAAAATATATAATGAAAATGGAAAGGCAGTTTGTGGTTGTGTTGTATTATGGTATAAATTGATTCTTCGGTTCCCGTATTAATGATACTATCAGTTAAATTTTAAGACTGCAATTTTGTATTTTTTCCATCCAGGGAGATCTTATTTATGTGAACTATGCACGTACTGAAGACTTTTTCAAGCTAAAACGGGACATGAAAATCAACTGCACTGGAAAGATTGTTATTGCTAGATATGGGAAAATCTTCAGAGGAAATAAGGTAAGATGTCATTTTGGGGAACAGAGGAGAAAGGATATTTCAACTGAAATATAGATGATGAGTGGGAATGGTGGTTGTAGGAATCTCTCCAAAAATGTTATTTGTGTTGGATGCTCTTATTGTAAAGTAAGTCTTGTTGTAATATTAATAGAGGTGTCTGTAAATAAGGGCAGTTTAAAAGTTGAGCACTTGACTGAAGTGCATTTAGGTTCATAGACTCTTTAGAATTGGAAGGGACCTTATATAGAGAGATGATCATAGAAGGGCAGAAAAAGCCCTGCCTCTTGAATCAAAACATTGTATTAACTACCTGTGTGACCTTGGATAAGTTTCCTCATTTTCAAAATGAGAGTTGGGACTAGATAGCTTCCCTGATCCCTTCCAGCTCTACATCTGTGATCTTATGGTCCTAGGAACCTCCCCCTCAATGGAAGAATGAATTTCCACTAAGGTAGTCATGATGCTTCTACTTGAATATCTCCAGTAATATTATTGTTCATTGTCTTAGAGGCAACCTGTTACATTTTTAGACAGCTCAGATTTTAGGAAAGTAGTTTAAAGGAATCTGATGGATCTTTCATTCCTTATTATGATGGGTTACTTGGATTTTTGACTTCGACACTGTTGTTTTTGACTGAACTTGATTTTACTGATGTTGAGAACACTCTTTGAGGAAACCACAAACTGGCCTTTCTCTGCAAATGATGGTCTTAGAGAGTTGTCTGCACACTGAGAGATTTTACTTTGTTCAAGGTCACACAGTCAGTATGTGGGGCAGATGTGGGACTTGAATCCAGATCTTTCTGACACTGATTCCCAGCACCTTATCCACCAAACCTCTCTGCTTCTTGAGCGCTTTTTAGTTTTAATTCATTTAAACAAACATCTTAAAAGTACCTGCTCTGTGTGAGTCAGTTTGCTAAATTCCAGAGCGAAAGAGATGGATAGGACTCGAGCTATATCCTGCAGGAATACGTAGACTCTAATGGAGAGGACAAGTACACCTAATGACTGTGTTAAGGGCAGCTGTGTAGAGCTCTGTGCCTGGAGTAGGGAAGACCTGAGTTCAAATCCAGCTTCAGACACCTACTACTTTTGTGAGCATGGAGAAGTCATTAACCTCTGTCTGCCTCAGTTTCCTCATCTGTAAAATGAGGGTAAAATAATAGCACCTACTTCACAGCATTGAGGCTCAAATGAGATAATATTGGTAAAGTGCTTAGCACAATTCCTGCCACATAGTTATATAAATGGTAGCTGTTATTATGATAATAAGAAGGAGCAATCTAATCAAAGTGCTTTAAGAAATTTGAAGATGAGATTCTGAGGATAAGGGTGTGGGGAATCAGGGTAGGCTACATGGAGGAGGAGGTAGCATCCAAGTTGGGCCTAAAAGAAAGGGAGAAATTTCAACAAGCAATATGAACAAAAGCACTGAGAAGGGAAAGGAGAGGACTTTAGAATAGGAGTATAGTCTAGTTTGGTTGGAATGCAGACTAAATGAGTGGGTAAAAATAAATGGAATGAATGACTGAAGTAAATGAAAGAATAAATTAAACCATAAGTGAGAGACAGATTGTAAAGGGTCTTGATTCCAGGGTGAGGAGTTTATACTTATACAAGGTGGGTAGGGGAATGGAGGTGAACTGAATGTTTTTTAACAGAAAGAAATAACATGATAATAGCAGAATTTTAGAGAGATTATTCTGGTTTAGGATGAGCGAAAATATTATTCATAGATCTTGAGTTTTGAAAGGAACCCTAGAAATCAATGCAGAAATTGAGGTGTCCAGAGAAGTTGTTCTTTGTCCTTCATTCTTACAGAGGATCATAACATGAGGGAGGTGATGCCATGACATGCCAGTGAATTGGATTTAAGTGAGGGAGGGCTGTGCCAAGTCACCAGCCTTACTTTCTCCTTCTGAGCCATCTGGGTCTCTTGTGGATGTGGTCGAAGGGTGCTAGCAACCCTGAAGGGTACTGCGTGGAGGTCTGCCTAAAAAGAATTCGACCACTCACGCCTTCTTTCAGTCCAAGTAGTGAGTTAATTAAGACATTGGTTGGGTTGGCGAGATTCCTAGTGAGTCTGTGGTATTTGTGACGCCAATACAAGTGGACTAGATTCTAAGGATCTGTGCAATTTAATGAGGGTAAGATTGATATTTTGTACAAAGAGAGCGTGGGAAGATTTGGATAGATTTAAGGAATAGAAAGTAGCATAGGGTAGGCCAGTGGGCTAGATGAAGAGAATGAAAAGTTAAAATGATCATCCTGGGATGAGGTAGATGCCTCAGGCTAATGCCAGGGATATGGGCTAATGAAATTTGTGGGAAGGTTCAAGAACTCTTTTTTAGGGGTGCCATTGCTCCATCAGGTCCAGTGGCCAGATATAGATCAAGACAACTGGAGATGGCCCAGGTTGCAATGGACCACCTTGGCCTTTTCAAGCTAAAGTTTTTGACTGGTCTTAGTGTGACTGAGGCAACGCCCATTCATGATTAAGGCTCAGTAAGAAGTGAGGCAGAGAATGGTCCTTTTTGCTATTTACATTCGTTCTGAGCTAATCAGAGCCCAAACAAAGACCAAGTAGAGCTTGTCTTGGGACCTATTGTTGTTCAGTCTATGCGAAAAGTTAAGTACTTTGCCAAAGCTCATAGAAGTAAAAAATAATTGGAATCCTGGATATGTGAGTGGTGTTTTAAAGTTTACAAAGTGCTTCGCCCACCTCATATTTAAACCTCCAAACCACTCTGTCGAGTAGATAATATAGAAATAAGACCCATTTTACAGATGAGGAAACTGAAGCTTAGGTAGCAAGTAGCAGAGCTGGAATTAGAGCTCGCATGTTTTAATACCAAATTCTGTGCTTTTTTCTACTGTGCTACAATGCCACCTTATGGACAAGGAATAGACTGAAAGTAAGACAAGCAGTTAGAAGCCTATACAATTTGATTCAATAAACATTTATTAAGCATCTACGGTGTGCCAGGCATATAGGTGAGAAAAGAGGCCAGGCCCTGAGCCAGTCTGATAGCAGTGGGCAGTCTGATAGCAGTGGGCATGAAAAGGGGGGATACAGATTCACCTGTGAGAGACACTGTGCTGGTAGAAGCAGCTGCAGTTGATAGCTAGTTATTAGGGAGGCAAGAGAGTCAAAGTTGGCTGCGTAGCCAAGTGTTGCCATGTTGACTTTTTCTATTTTACTTTGGCTTTGCAGGTTAAGAATGCCATGTTAGCCGGAGCCATAGGGATTATCTTGTACTCAGATCCAGCTGATTACCTTGCTCCTGGGGTACAGCCCTATCCCAATGGATGGAACCTTCCTGGAGATGTCGCCCAGCGAGGGAATGTATTAAACCTGAATGGAGCAGGTGATCCTCTCACTCCAGGTTACCCGGCGAAAGGTGAGCAACACACTTGTTACAAATTTTGCACCTTTCCAAAATATTTCAGGCCTTCCTGGTTTAATGGCAACATAAACATTTGGGCGTGAAGATTAAAATAACATCCTGTTTAATGATAACATCCTAGATTCATAAAGTTGTTTGTGATAGAGGGATCATCTATTCTAAACCTTTCATGTTATAGGTGGAGAAACTGAGGTGTCCAGAGAAGTTAAATATTAAATGACTTTTACTAAATGCTTAAAATACTTTTTCATGTATCATAGCAATGTTGGTATGAATAACATAATTATAGGAGACTGCTTGCTTTGATAGCTATGGTAATGTTGTATTTAGTGCCTGAAATTCATAATCATCTATGTGTCCAGAGTGTGGAGAATATAGTATTAGTGAACCAACCCTTGTTTACCCAGACCTCCAAAATGCCTGCCAGAATAACAGACCTTAGAATGGTGGATTTCAGTACCTGTTAATTTTCTTTGTCTTTGTCCTTTCTGACCTTCTGTTATGATGCAGTACAGTATGATACAATACAAAACATTGAGCACTTACTGTGTGGCAGGCATTGTGCTGAGTGCTGGGAATACAAATTAGGGGGGAAAAAAACCAGTCCCTACCCTCAATGAGCTTACAGTCTAATGGAGAAGACAGTACACATAAGGAAGCTGAAAAGTGTGTTGGGGAAGATGCGTAGATCAGGTTCTTGATGGTGGAGTTGATTCCAAGGAATGTGGCTAGTGGGAAAAGAAGATTGGCTGGACTTTTGAGCCCTCTTTATAATGAGACCTTTGGGAGGAGTGAGGGAGAGGCTACTGGGGATACTGGTGAGGTACAGTATTAGACACTCTTGACCACATCATGCTCTTGGATCCTCTATTTAATTGTCATAGGAAGATTCTGAAGATCACCTGGCAAGATAAGGTACCAGACACTGAGGTTCATCTCTCACTGAACTGCCAAGCATTCAAACTCTATTGCAGAGAGTGCAATTCTGATGGGCCTGAATGCCTAACATAAATTGACCTAAAAGACTATTTTACGGAGAACTTGCACAAGGCAAACACTCACATGGAGATTAGATAGAAGGACACTCTCAAGGTCAATCTGAAGAACTTTGCTATAGATCGTGAGACATGGGAGGTGCTAGCACAGGATTGCCTAGCATGGCGTGTCCACGCAGAATTGCAGTAGCACAGAGGTAATGTGAAATGTGCAAATCTAGAGACCCCTCCAACCCAAACATTCAAATAGACAGTTTGTGCCTGAGCTGTGGTAGAGCCTTCCCAGCTCCTGTTGGACTGACCGGGCATAGTTGAGCACCCTGTACCTTGACCCCAACATCCTGATGTCATTGGTCCTCTTCAAATCCAAAGGACGAACAACAGCTCTTGGATGCACTCTTTTTCCTGGGTTTTCATGAAATTTCTGCCTCCTCTTTCTTCCTAGAATCAGGAAGACCTCAGTTCAAATCAAGTGTCAGACACTTACTAACTGTGTGACCCTTAGTAAGTCACATATCACAGTGCCCGGCACATAGCAGGTGTTGAATAAATGCTTACTTCCTTCCCCTCCCTCACGTGCCATCATACACCTACATGAGGCCTGTTCCCCCTGTTGTTAGTGGTATCTTCTCCACACTTGAAATTTTGTTCAGTTGTTCCACTTGTGTCTGACTTTTCATGACTCCATTTGGGGTTTTCTTGTCAAAGATACTGGAGTGGTTTGCCATTTCCTTGTCCAGCTCATTTTACAGATGAGGAAACTGAGGCAAACAGGGTTAAATGACTTGTCCAAGGTCACACAGTTAGTAAGTATCAAAGGAAGATATCTTCCTGACTGTAGGCATGGTGCTGTATCCACTGTGCCGCCTAGAAATTACTTTCTAATTATTTTGTATATTATTTTCTATTTATTTAAATTTGTATTATTTCCCCTGGAATAGAAGAGCCTGGAATGCTATGGTCCATGGGGTCACAGAGTCAGACACAACTGAACAACTGAATAAAAATAATTTCCTCTGGGAAAATGTAAACTCCTGGAGAACAGGGTCTGTTTTGGTTTTCTTTTTATTCTCATTGTAGATTATTGCCTGGCCCAGAGTAACAGACACTTAATAAATGTTGAGTTTGGACGAATGAAGTCATTTACTAATCTTTTTTTTTACTTCAATTAAATGCTACATTTCTATTTGAAGGAGATATCGAAGTGTTTTAAAAGTTTACAAAGATTTTTAGTTATCTAGAGGGAAAACTTTTATTTAAACAAGATATTTATAAATGATTCCTTTCCTGTTACATTTTGCCTTTTCTCCTCTTTCTTTCTGATTTATATTGGCCAAGTTCTATTTTCCCATCATTTGTTTTATGGCAGATGTTCCAAGCAGAAATTCAGAACTTCCCCAGGGAGTTAAATGATACAAATATCAAAAGAAAATTATGAAGAGTAAATAAATAAGTTGAATTTAAGCATATGTTTAAGAAATCTCATATAAATGTGAAAAAAGTTACAACTTTTTAGTTGTAGAAACTATGGATAGTATATAAGATATAATGATGATCGTATGTAGCAATGTAATAATAGGTGGGATGGGGTTTGGACTTGTTATTTCATTGGTCTAGGGAACTCCTGGATGAAGCAGCTCCCTCTTCCAATGTAGGGCAGATAGATGTGCCTAGAATACCGAGCAGCTAAGTGCCTTGCCCAGAGTCACAGAACCAATTTGTGTCAGAGGCAGGCCTTGAACCTAGATCTTTCCTAGTTCCAAGGCCATGTCTCTATCCATTATGCCACACTGCCTCTCATAATACAATAATGTGTGAGTAATGTCTACAAAAAATGTAAATGAACCTTACAAATTTTCTTTTCCTCATATCCAAAGGCTCTGGTGGTGGTAATGGTGGAAAATAAAAATCAATTATCTCTACATATTTTACCTTTAATTTGTGATGATCAAAATTTTAACTTTGTGAAATAGAAAATGGCATATTACTTAGAAAATGCACTTGATTTTTCAGAATACACCTTCAGGTATGCAGAAAATGAAGGAGTGGGAATCCCCCAAATACCAGTACATCCCATTGGATATCATGATGCAGAGATATTATTACGGTAAAGTCTTTGCTTGGATGCAAGATTAAGATATCTTGCTCCAAAAGACTGTTTCTTAATCTAAAAACTAATGTATATATTTTCTATTAAAAATAAAAAAAATAATTTTATGATTCAAGACTTTCTTTTAAAAATAGGGGATAAAAAAGAGGAGACATTTGGACAGTAGTTTTCTCTTTTGTAAAAGCATAAGTTGTATGGCATAGTGGATAGAGAGCTGGCTTGAAGCCAGGAAAAACTGGTTTCAAAGTACAGCCTTTGACACTTACTGGCTCTCAGTGCTCTAGATTGGTGGTGCTAAACTCAAAAAAAAAAATACAAACCAAAAAGCAGATCTCTGTAGGTTTCTGATTGTTCAACAAATTAACACTATCTATGTTGTGCTGCATTTTTATTTATTTTGTTAAACATTTCCCGATTACATTTTAATCTGGTTTGGCATATTTGACATTCCTCTGCTTTAGGCAATTCTTTAAGATTATAAACTGTAGACGAGCTGACTTGCATTGGTGGAGGGAATTTCTTTACCTGGGAGGTCCCTCTACCAGTGAAATCACAGGTCTAGCCTCATTGTATCTTTCTTTCTTCCTTCCTTCCTTCCTTCCTTCCTTTTTTTCTTGGAGTAAAAGAATAGATCCACTTAGTTGCTTAATAAAATGAAAGTTTGTTGTATTTTCTAAAAGGATACGTGAATAATACTAATCACTAAAGATTAAAATATCAAAAACCATTTCAAAAGCAGTTTTGCTATCCATTATATATTTGAACTCCAATAATCACTTCTCATCTGTCTATTTCCTATCTTTGCATATATTCTATTGGAGTTCAATTTTCATGGTTCTACCTGTCACCTGAAATCAGTATCTCTGGTTCTAACTCTTCTCCTGATATTCTTTTCTGCATTTGTGACTGAATTCATGATGGACAATTCTATTTTCATTTCTTGATATTATCCCAAAGTTAACCTATGTAAAACTAATCCCAGAGTCTCTCAACATTGTTTCCCCTTCTTGACTTAACTTAGTTCTGTTAATAATAAAACTGTAACGATAGTCAGCTGTATTTGATTCCTCCCTCTTATACATCCTCCACATCCAGTCCATTAACTAATTAATTTTGAGTCTTCCTTTACAGTATCTCTTACATCCGTTTTTTCCTTGTCATTCCCATTGCCACTACTCAAGCTTGGGCCCTTACTTCATGGCCTACTGCTTGTTTCAATTGCCTCCTAACTGGTCTTCCTATCACCAGCCTCTCATTCTTACATATTGCCACCAGCTTACTCTTCTTAAAATATTATTGTAATCATTCATTTAACAAATTTTCTTTAATAACATACAGGGTACTGTATGCTAGAGATATGCAGATAAAAATATCAGTCCCTTCATTAAGGGAACTTATATTTTATTGCCACAGGGTATGGCATATATACAGATAAATATAATACATGGTAGGGAAACATTGAAGGAATTCAGACAATATGTTTTCAGTATATTTAAGAAGAGAGAGAACATATTCATTTGGAGGAATCAGGGATGTTTATGTGGCAGCATCTGGACTTGAGCCATAGTGGCAGATAATTCTGAAAGGTGAAGATGAAGAGGGAATACATTCTAGGTATAGAGTATGGCATGTAAAGATGTACAGAGATATATAGTGGCATGTTAAGTCTGAGGAATATTTACTAGTCTGGTTTTACTGAAAGATAGCATGTATGAAGGAGGCCGAGAAAGTAAAATAAGTCTATATAGGTGAGTTGGAGCCAAATGCAGACAGCTTTAAAGTCTAAGCTAATTAATTTTACTTTATCCCAGAGTAGATGGAAGTACAAGAAGAACAGTGACAGGAGATAGACTTGTGTCTTAGGAAGGTTATTTTGGCAGCTTTTTGAACTATTATGGTGGCACTATTAGTAGAGGAAGGTGGGAGAGAGAGAGACAGAGAGAGAGAGAGGAGTCAAAGATGATTTTAACAGAAAGAGGGAGTTTTGAGAAGGGGAGAGTTTAGGGGGGAAATGATCATTTTCATGTTCATATTGAGTTTAAAGTAAGTCATTTAACTTTCCTGGGTCTCATTTTTCTCCTCTGTAAAATGAATGGTTTGGGCTGTATGGCCTCTACTAGTAAGTAGTAAGTCCTTACTAGCTTTACATCTATGATCCTACGTAGAAGGTGCCAGTGGGTCATCTAGGTGGAGATCTCCATTGGGCAGTTGGAGGTACCATTCTGGAGTTCTAAATTAGGATCAGATACATAGACTTGGGAATAATTGAACTGAAAGAGTTCATTGGAGAAGGATGCCTCCATTGAACTATAAGACACTATTCAAAATTCTGTCTCTAAACATCTTACTCTTCTTCCACTATAGAAATGATCCTTATCATCTGTGCAATTCATTTGACAAGTGATCATATATCATCTTGGTTGGAATGAACGTAATCTCTCTTCAACCCTACCTCTTAGAATTCTTGTCTTTAACATTCAGCGTGGGTGCTACTTTCTGCGGAACCTTCCCTGATATCTCTTATTCTCCCTCTGACTTAATTTGCCATGTATGATATTTTGGATCAATGAGTGAAACAGGATTTGCTACATGCCTATTAGAATTCTATTAGAGAAAGACCACATAGTGGGCAGGGAGGGATGATTTAGTCTATGAAGTCACAGAACTGGTGAGTAGAGGCCTATAGCAATTGTTTGATACATTTTTTCCAAAAATGGAAGCATTTATTTGATTACCGTTCTCAGAGCTAGCAGTGGAAAGGAGAGCAGGAGAGCACCAGGAAAAGTATGAATGTGTTCAGAGAGCAGTGTAGTTGGTGTTGGTTGGGACAGATAAGGAAACCTCTCATTAATGAAGAACTCGGAACCTAAGGCAGGAGCTGGAGGGCTGGGTTGATGGTGAAGATTAGAACCAAGAGTCATGGCATAATACCCGCACAACAGCCAGAAATACATGGTGTATATTTCTCCAGCCTCCTAGTAGAATGTAAGCTTTTGGAAGGCTATTCATTTTTGGTATTCTATGCACTGCGCCTAATACAGTGCCTTAGAAATAATAGATGCTTAATAAATATTTACAGAATCAAATTGTGACATATATTTAATTATGGTCTTGGATTATTTCAGTGGTTTTTGTGTTTACGTATTAAAAACAGGAAATACTGGCTGGACACTCACATACACATATGTAATATAAATGCACATACATGTATGTGTTTTAAAACACTTTGTAAACTTAAAAGTGCTATAAAATGGTAGTTATTATTATTGTTGTTACATTTATTTGTAATTCTCATAGCACAGTGGCTTGCCACTAGCAGATACCAGTAAATATTTGTTTTATTTAATCTTGAAAATAACAGTCACTCTGTATAAGATATTTTCATTGAAAGCTATAAACACTCCCAAGGAAATATTCCTTATTATGCTATGATAACAAAAAGTCCTAATATTTATATAGTGCTTTAGGACTTGCAAAACTAAGTGTGGAACATTACAATCTAAGAACTGAAACTGAGGATGACCCAAATGGTGATGAAGAAATATATGGTAAGCATGCAGCATGTCACAAACAAAAAATAACAAAGGAGAAATTGTAAATGATGTGGTGGTAGTGGTGATGGTGATGATGATAACTTCTCATATTTATATAGTAATTTAAGGTTTGCTTTAAATGTATTATCTCTTTTGATCTTTACAACAACACTGTGAATTAGTTGCTATTCCCATTTTACAGATGAGGAAATTGAGGCTTAGAGGTTGTGACTTGCTTAGGGCCACTCAGTTTGTAAGCATTCAGGCTGTGATTTGAATCTGGACTTCTTGGCTTTAATGTAATTATTTTTTTATTGTTCATTTGGTCATATGACCAGAGGGAGTGAAAACCCTTAGACTGATTTTCTGATGCATCTGTATTCTCATAGGATCCAGACAACTTCAGGAAGTTCCCACCATGTTGGGTGGCAAACTTATGGGAGTACATGGAGAGAGGTTAAACAAAATGCCAGCCTCAATGGGTTGCAATCTGAGTTGTTGGTGGGAACACCCTCATCATTGAAATGATAGATTAATTGGAATATTGGATTTCTTTCTAAAATAATATTCAGTGAAGAAAATTACCATTTCCACTTCATTAGCACTTCTACCATTTAGTAATCTCTTTTCCTTTGAGGTTCTTAACTGTGATAAATCACTCTATTCACATTCTAGGAGACTATTATCTACCAGCCCTGAGATCATTCTTCCTCCTTCATCAGGGTTTCAGTACCTAGTTCATAATCGTCCTCTTGACCCCATTCACTGCTCTTATAATTGAAGATTTCAGTGTAGATATTAATGTCCCATGAATCTTACTATTTTCCAATTCTTTAAGCTCCTTAACTCCTATGACTTGTACCTTCACTCCAACTCAGATAGTCATACATTTGATCCTCATCATCATCCACAATTCGGTCTACCTCCCAACTAAAAAACACTTAGATTTCTCTATCTGACCATGATGTCCTATTGTATGATCATAAATTTCAAATTGGATGGAATCTTCAAGGTTATCAAGTCCAATCTTCTCATTTTACAGATGAGAACATATTCCCTCTATTAGAACTGATTGCTGTTGGACATTCATTATTGAACTTGAGCATGATGAAAGTTTATGAACTTTTGTTAGGATGAGTATAGCCAATGACCTTTGAAAATCAAAAGAATCTAGCATTCTGTAAGCATTAGGTACAAGGTGAACCTGTAATTTAAATTCCTTGATATTTTATGTTTTCCCCCTTCAAGTCAAACAGTCTATTATAAAGGAAAGAGCTCTTGATTGCGAATGAAGAAAATTGGGCCCAAGTTCCCAGCGCAAGTGAAAACTTGCTGGGTTACCTTGGACAGGTTATTTCAACTTCCTGTATCTCAGTTTCCTTGTCTGTAAAAGTGAGATTTAACCATAAATTCTATCGGAGGACCTTTTCAGGTCTAGTTCTGTGATTCTTTCTTGATGCGTTTACAGAGACTCAAGACCTATCGCTTTAAGAAGATTCTTTTTATTTTAGGATTAAATTTTCTATCTCCCTTAAAGTTTTTTATTAGATGCATACAATAATCAAGGTACTCTGCAGACCCTAGAGATACAAAGGTGAAACCAAACACACCACACACCTCATGTGGTTAGGATACTGAATGGTGAAAAGACACAGGTAATGGAAAGACTTGTCTTTGTGGGCTTTTGCAGGAACATTATGCTCTGTATCTTGAAGTGATGAGGTAAGCTAGTTATAAGTGATTTCTATCTGTCACCTTCCCACTTTGGACACAGGGAGGGAAGGAGAAATATCAAGTTGGCTAATAACATAGTGAAGTACTAAAATCTTTTCATGCGGGAAACATCCTTATTATATGAGAATGAGCTTAGCTTTGTCAAATGGACCAATGAACTTGATCCAAAGAGGCCTGAGCAAAACAGATGAGTAATTAATAAAAGCAGCAGGTTTGGATTTTTCACGGGTGGAGATGCTGTTCTTTTCTGGGAGCTACAAGTAAAATGATCTAGAGGTAGTTGCAATGGGGAAAACCAAGTACTATGAGAACTTTGATGAGGAAAGAGTATTCAAGGAGGCTTCATGGAAGTAATGGCCACGTACTTTCCCTGAAAGAGGGGAAGGATTTCAAACACAGAACTTGGACGATGAGGGGCTGTGTGCATTCCAGTTACGGGGCACAGTGTGAACAAGAGCAAATGATACTGTGGGAAGAGACCTGGGTTCAAATCCTGCCTCTAAAACTTACTACCTGTATGACCTTAAATAAGTCTCTTAACCTTTTTGGTTTCTTCATCTATAAAATTATGGAGTTGGGTTGAATAACCTTTGAGTTCCTTTCCTGCTTTAGAATGTTGTTGATGATGATGTTGGTTATTGTGTTTGGGAGAACAGGGTGGGACAAGAAGAAGGGAAAATGGGTGGGTCAGTTTCTTTTAAAGGGTAAAATAAAGTGTGGGATAAAGCTAGAAATATGTGCTAGAGCCTTAAAAGACAGAGTTCCTTAAAAGTCAAATGAGGAATTTATACTTCAATTACATAAAATGGGGATACAACGAAGGATTTTGAGGAGAAGAGTGACATATGGGGGGGGGAGGTTAGTTTATTCATTGTAAAAATTATTTAGGCAGTGGTATGAAAGGTAGAGTAAGAGAGACCAAGGCTCTATGCTGGCCCACTTCTCTTTCTTGTTTGGTCATCTTGTCCTCTCTAGTGGCTTTATTGATAATGTCTCTTGCTTCCATCTCCTTTCCACTCACACGACCACCAACCTACTGTAGTTTAGGCCCTTGTCATTTCTTGCTTGATTATATCAGTAACCTCCTAATTCATGTGTAAACTTTCCCATATGTCCTTTCTCTAAATCATTCTCTGCATGGCTGCTCAAATAGCATTCCTTAGGGACAGATTGCTACCCTGCTCAAAATTCTTCAGTGGATAGCTATTACCTCTAGGACAAGAACTCTTCAGCCTGGCAGTTATTGCCCTCCTCAAATTTACTCTAACATACCTTTCCAACTTTATTTCATATTACTTCCTTTCATGTTATTTTCCATTAATGGTTCTCTCCTGAATTTGACATTCTGTCTCCTGACCCTTTGCAATTTTGTAAGCTCTTTCCCATACCTGGAATTCTTCGAATCTTTAACTTTTCTGTACCCTTTTTACCATAAAAGCTCTCCTGATTCCTCCAGGTTTTACTGTCTTCTTCCTCAGATTACTTCATATTTACCTCGTATATTTGTTGCATCCATGTTCTATTACAGGACACTGCATACAGTGCAAACTCCTTGAAGGGAAGGCATTATTACATTTTTGTCTTTGTTGTTCCAGTGTCTTGCAGAGTACCCTCATGCATAGTAGACACTGAATGAATAGAGATGTGTTGAGTTGAGGGGTCTATTACAAATAATCCAAGTAAGAGATGTTGAGGGCCTAAAACTTGTAGTGGCTTGAGAGAGAAGAAAAAGTAAGATTTAAGAAATAGTTGATGTATAATTTAGAAGAATAAAAGGATGCAGAAGTTAACCAAAAGGATGAGTTAAACATGACCTTGAAGTTTCTCTCATGGATTACAATAAAGACTCCTTTCCTTTAACTCCTTTACCTACTCAATAAGTAGCTGCCCAATATCTGCTATATACTTAATGGTCTCTGATCTGTGTCCAAAGTATTTTAGATTTAATGAGTCTTTGTGTTATCACCCAGAAAAAGAATGGGTGGTGGTGGGGTGGAGGGGTGGTACAGAGGGGAGAAAATGGAGAAATACTCTTCTGGTTTCCTAATCTATAAAATTGTGATGATAATATCTTTAGTGTCCCACAGTGCTATTTTGAGGGTCAAATGATATAATTTATGTAAATTATTTTTAAAATCTTAAGTCAGTATTTCAATGTGAGGAATTATTTTTTTTTATCACTATCATCACTGTGTATGACTCCATCTGAGAAGTTGTAAGTGCTCAACTTTTAATGTGTTTTATTTTTGTTCCTGTCTTAATAGCAGTATGGGAGGAATTGCACCACCAGATGACAGCTGGAAAGGAAATCTTAATGTACTTTATAATATTGGGCCTGGTTTTATAGGGAACTATTCCACCAGGTAGGTTTCAATGTAGTTTCCTCACCCTTAAAATAGGGATAATATGTTTACTGCCTATTCCTCAAAGTTGCTGTTATTATTAAATTATCTCATATATGTGAATATGCTTTCCTTAAGTACTACATACATGTAAGGCACATCCTTTTATCTGAGTTACCTGTCTTTGTTTCCAAAAGCATTCACTTCACTTTCTTAGTATTCCTTATTATACCAGTTCTTCAGCTTTTCTAGACTGTTGACTCCTACAGAATTAATAAACTCTGGATTGGGCCTGGTGTCAGGGCATAAGGACCGAATGAAGTTATGATAGCAAGAGGCCTAGTGTTCTGAGGCTCTCTCTCATCTTGACCAGAGTCTTAGTGGGCAGAGACCCGGTGTCTGGGTGCTCAACAGCTACAGAGGGCTGAGGTGTTGGCTTTTCTCATGTGATGTGTTGAAGCAGGATGGAGTAAGTTGGTTCCCACATGTGCCAATAGTTTTAGGCTTCCATATCTAGTCTGTGTGGGCTGAATGGTAATTGAGGACTGGAGTATTGTGACTCAATACAGAGTAGCTGCCAACTCTTGGGGAGTTTTTTCCAATGATGGCACAAAGGGGCCTCAAACTCGGGGTACCTAAATAGGGCAGCTCCACTCTAGAGTCCCTATCTGTGATAACGGTGTGTTGGTTATAATGTTATTGATTTTGCTCATTTGGTTTAATGAAGCAGGGTCAAAGTAGCATTTTAGGAAGTTGAGTCTAATATCAGTAGGCTATGGATTTCCATGTCTGCCAAATGATAAGGTTGGACTAGGTTTTTAAAAATCTCTTCTAGCTCTGAAATGCTGTGAATTGGAGGGGGAATATATTACAGGAATGCAAATTGAGATCTGACTAGATTTGTAATAGTAGGTGTCAGGGGGGTAAATTATGAAAAATTGAAAGGATGATAAGATTGGCAGGACTGGATTTGGACAGTGAAGGAAAAAAGCAAAACACTGAAGTTTTGAATCTAAGTAGCCAAGGAGTATGATGGAGCCGTTGATTAAGAAAGTAAAGTTGAGAGAAAGAGCTTGTTTGAGAGTAAACAGGATGAGTTCACGTTCTGAACAAGTTGAATTTGAAGTGATAGTAGCACATTCTACATTCTGGCAGGCCAATAGAATTTGGTGCTGGAGCACAGATGAGATAGAAAGGCGGGCAACATGGATAAACATCTTAAGAGACCTCCCAGTAATAACTTTGCATGAAAACCAAGCAAAAATGGAATTGAAGATTTTCTTAGACGCCTACTGCTTAATTTCTCTTAGGTACACAAGGCTTTCTTTTGACATCTGAGAAGGTGCTGTGAGCCTATCTACTTATTTTGATACTTTGGTAGACCTGTTCTTTTCCAGTATTTTCATGGCAACATAGGTACTCTCTTCATTGATACAGATCACAACCCATTTATTCCTTCTAGTCTTAGTCCTCATACTTGTCCATATTCTTCTTCACATCCTTCAGAGAGGATCTGCCCAACATCCTGAAGAACTTTACAATATCATTGGGTCCTTTACATGTTGTGAGTACTTCAGAGGCTTGTGGGCTATTTTACTGTTACTCTTTACCCCTGGTGAGAGATTGTAAGCTCCTTGAGGGCAGAGATTACTTAGTTTTTATCTCTGTATTCACAGTGTGTGGCAGATAGAAGGCCCTTAAGCAAAGATGGTTGATTAATTGATTTGTTGCCACATAACTGGCCCCTTCCTCCTTTTCCAATCCTAGAATTTCTTATACCACTTCTTGCATGTAGGTCTAAGAGTTATGGGAGCTGGGTTTTCTAAATGTGTCGATGGAGCCCCTGGTGTCTCAGATGGATGTGATCTAAGGTCTGATCTGGCCCACACCATTTCCAAGGAGACTTCCTTTCTTCCATTGTGAAGAATAGAAGGACTGTTCAGATACCACTGTAGTATCCTAGCTGTAGGAGGAGTAGGCAAGATTAAAGAAGGCAGGAGGTAGGGTGATCTCTCCTACCTCTATGAGGGCTATCAGTAAGTCACAAGCATTTGTTAATCATTTACTGTGTGCCTGGCTAAGCACTGGGAATACAAATACAAGTAGGAAGAATAGATAGTCCTCAAGGAGCTTACCTTCTGATGGGTGGAGACTATACATAAATGAAGCTGGAAATGGGTAGGAAATGAAGATAAAAGTACCTGGTGTAGAGGAAGTCTGAGATGCATCAATGTGTGAATTCCAGAGTGGAGAGAGCATCAGGATGAAAAAGTAGGTCATGGCGGAAGTACAGAATCCAGAGGAATGAGACATGGCTGGCCCAGACACTTGTTTTAAATGAAGGTTCTAGGAGGATCTATCCTATCAGAGGGAGAAGCAGATGTTAGGCTAGAATTATATTTAGCTGCAGCCCCTCAAATATCTTGAGTCCAGGTGTATGATTTGGGGCTCAGAAAGGAAAGAATTTCCCTAGTTTTACTCTTAAGAGGAAAGGTAGCCCTTATCTTACACTCACCAGCTTTCCAACCAAATGATAGATAGATAGATAGATTTGTGTGTGTATATACACACACATGCATATGCACATGTTTGTTGCATGTACACATACACATATGTGTTTATGTATGTTATATCATGTGTATACATGCGCATGTGTGTATACACAGACCTATAGACACACATACATGTATACATATGTATGTGCGTGCGCGCGCGCGCGCGCACACACACACACACACACACACACACACACACACATACACAGAGGAAGTATAGAACTGCCCCAAACTTGGGCAGAAGCAGGGTTACATTGATTTTATTGGAAATGTGCTGAAGCTGATTTGCATACACTGTTTTTCTACATTGCCCTTTGGTTCACCCACAGCTTTGTTTCCTTGGAAATTTTGGTATTCTAAGATTTAGAACCAAAAAGCATTGCAGTGAGAATGTAGTGCAGGGGTGTCAAACTCAGAAAGAAACGGGGCCACTAAACCAGGCATAAGGATCTTTGAGGGCTGCAGATTGACTTAGAAAACTACAGATTGAAATTGTCTGTATTCTGTTGTTATTCATTTTGTTAAATATTGTCCAATTACATTTTAATCTGTTTTCGAGCATCATTCAGGGGTGTTGTGGGCTATGCATTTGACACTTCTGGTGAAGTAGTTAGAGTTAGTAAGACAAGGGTTCAAAGTGCACTTCTGACACATACTGGCTATATGACTCTGGGCAAATCACTTAAATCAGTGCCCAGGTAACTTTTTAAGACTATGAGTAGCAAAGAGTTTCACCTTGCATCAGCATAATAAATATCTCACCTGGAAGCTTCCTCTATGGATGAAATCACAAGTCTGTTTTTTGTTTTGCTTTGTTCTTTAAAAGGTTGCCAAGAGAATATTTTTCGTGGCCAAGTGAGTCAAGACAAAATGAGTGCTAAGGCACACAACATGACTTAAGATCGCAGTTGTTAAGAGTGCTACATATTTCCAAAGTAAACCAGTTTGCTATTTACCACTTGTTAAAATCTGGGTCTAATTCCTTGTCCATCTTCAGAGCCTGTCCTGTATGTAGATCCCTACACACTAACTCAATGGATACTATTTACAAAGTGTTTAGCACTATGTCCACCTGTAGCAGGCACTATATAAATGCTTATTCTTACCTTGTCCTACCTTCAGGTCTTAATCTGGAAAATAAGCAATTTTCATCCATTTAATTTCTTTTTTTTATTATTTTGCCTGATTTAAGATAGGATTTTTCTTCTCTTTGATCCTTTGTTTCTTTTCTTTTATCTTCACCCCACTGAATGATAAATCTTGATATTCTCGTTTTTCTTACTAATCATAGCTCTATATTTGTTTTTTCAAATGTAGCATACTTTCCTGTGCTTTCTGTAACTGTGCTAAGCACTGGGATTCTTATGGAGAATTAATGAAAACATTTTAATCTGCTCTATCTCCTTATTTGGGTTATTTAATCTCTGTGTATTTGATGCCTTGATAAATGGAACTATCTTCTGATTGTTTTCTTATGAAGAAAGTTGCTGGCTAAATATTACATATGGATTCAGTCTGCCCTAATAAACTTGCATATGATCAGTTTTTATGGAAATGCTAGATGATATATTACACAATTTGGATATGCTAGTAATAGGGATATTCTGTCCTGTTTATCCTTCTGTGAGGTTTATGTAAATCCAAGAAGTACCACCGAGAGACATGTACCCAACAATTATTTTCTTACTATCTAAATCTTGTAATTTAATTTCCATTTCCTATGAGGAATAGGAGGTGGTGTTATGGAAGGAGAGAGAGGGAGGAAGAGAGGGGGAGAGAGGAAGGAGAGACAAATAGAGGCAGATAGAAAGAGTATATGTTAGAATTAAGAGTTTCAAAGGTAGTATGGCTCATAATGGATAGAGAGTTGGCCTCAAAGGCAGGAAGATTAGAGTTCAGCTTCTACCTCTGCCTCACCCTGGTTTTCTGACCTTGTTCAAGTCTGAATCTCTCAGTGCTCTGGCAATTCTCTAAGACTTATTGCAGAGAAGACACTGACCTGCCTTGGTACGGGGATTTTCTTCACTTTGGAATTTTCTGTATCAGTAAAACCACAGGGCTAATCTCTAGTCCTAATCTTATTGTATGCCTTTAATATAACTTCTTTCTGTCTTGTCTTACTTGACTTTACCAATTTTGTCTGAAATAGTTGCCATTTATATTTTTTTAAATTCAATTAAAGTATAAAAGCTTTTATTCCAGACCCAGCCTTTAATCCTGTATGAATCTTTATGTTTTAAGTTGTTTCTTGTATAAAACAAATCATTGAATATTGTTTCCATTTGTGGGTGAATTAATACAATTTATGTAAATTCATAATTTTTAATATTTAAATATTCACAATTTAAATGTTTTTTTCTGTTAAATCAGATAATTTTATTAATTTGAAAAAAAAAAAGAAATGGTACTAATATCTGAAATTTATATTGCTTAGAACTTGAGGCATTGCCTTATACCAATTAAGTTGGCTAAGGTTCCAAAAGATGAGAAGATTAATTTTTGAAGGGCTGTGCAAGACCAGGCATGCTAATTCACTGCTGGAGCTACACATTAGTTTTTAGCTATTCTAGAAAATAATTTAGAAGCACGCAAGTTAAAATTGTTCATACCCTTTGATTCAGAAACTTCACTATAAAGTTATTTACTGCAAGAAGAAATCTGTACAAAAATGTTATAATAGCATCTTTTATTATATCAAAAGGGGGGAAACAAAATATGTGCACAATGATAGGAGCAACTAAACAAATTATATGGCATGAATATTGCTGTGGAATAAGCAAAGTCAGTTAGGAAAAGTTCAGAGAAATATGTGATGACCTCTGTGAAGTGATAAAGAAAAAGTAGAGCTAAAAGAACAATTAGTAGACCAGTGTAAATTAAGTCAACATGAAGTGATAAGAAAACTGGCCAAATAGAGTAGTCAGTGAAAGTACCATGTTATCAAAGTGAAAGGACTTTTGCCTTTCCTTTCTGATGCAGCTTCAGTGTGGGTGATGATATATTGTTCTGGGTTTATGAGCAGGGCTGCCACTAGCACGATTTGACCTTTGTATAGGTCCAATGGAGCTGGCTAATAGGTTTGCCAAGTTTTAAATTTTACTGTGAGCATTTACACCTTAAACATAGACCACTGAGGCTTGATTTACCCATTGATTGTCTAGATTTCAGAAAGTGATGGAGAGGCAGCTAGGTGGCACAATGTGATAGAGCTCTGGTCTTGGAGTTGGGAGGACCTGAGTTCAAATGAGGCCTCAGACACTTGACACTTACTTAATAGCTGTGTGACCTTGGACAAGTCATTTAACCCTGATTGCCTTACCAAAAAAAAGCAACAACAACAAAAAAGTGATGGAAAAGTTGTTAAAACTGTGTCATACTTACCTTTTCCCTCCTAGAGAGTCAATTCCAGGGAGCAATTAAGCATTTACCATAATAACTCTAGCTGTATCAATCTTTCCATATAACTTATCTTGACTCCTTCTTTTGGATGTGACTTTCTCTCTGGTCACTCTTTCTGTGAGTGTGTTTTGTTTTGTTTTTTCCCCCTTTAAGCCCATAGGAAATAGAAAACAATTGGAAGAGAAAGTAGCCAAGGCTTACCTTCCATGCCAGTTCCAGATTGTCACAGCTTCCTCCAGTCAAAGCTGCTTAGTTAATTATCTGGCAAGATTGAGGTTTAAGTTTTTGTGCTCTGGGGAATTGGAAAATTGAATCAGTAATTTTTTTATATATAGCTGTCAGCCTCCAGCCAGTAGAATTGCTCTAGTGAATATTTATTACCATTTATGACATCTGTTTCACTCTTGTATTCATTCTCCCCACCCATTGTCTTTTTTCTGCTTTATTTAGGTGATTAAAAACACATTAGTAATACAATGGTTAACAAACTTTATCTTTAAAAACTTGAAATAAAAAAAAAAGAAATAGCAATAGGTTTAGGGAACAGACACTTGCTCTCTCAAGAAGGGAGAGATAGGGAGAGAGAAGGGGGGTGGGAGCTGATGTGCCAGCAGCCTTGGGTTTGCTTCTCTTGGTGATTTTAGTAAAAGACGTTCTCTTAGGTATGCTTTTGTGACCCCATGCCCAGGACTAGGAAAACTACTCTGAGTACGCTTTCTGCTTGTGCCACCAGGTGGTGCCCAAAGCTTGTTTTACTGGCCCATATCTCCAAACGGTCCTCCTTGTGCGAATCTGTTTTGAATCTCAGTTCAAGAATTCTTAGATCAAAGGTTCTTAACCTGGGGTGTATGGATAGATGTCAGGGGATCCATGAACTAGGATGAGAAAAAAATAAATAGAATATTAGACATTTAGTTTTCTACATATGGTTATAAAACTATTAGTCATAAAACCGTAAAATTTTCTCTTCATTCTTGTGTTATTGACAGGAAAGTCAGAATGCATGTTCACAACACCAATGAAATAACAAGGATTTACAATGTAATTGGAACCATCAGAGGATCCGTAGAACCAGGTGTGTTATTAACTTTTTCTTCAGATTCAATTTTTTCAGAGGTTTAGAGAACCAGGCAGGTAATATATTATCAGTAGTATGAAAATTGTTAAAATGTACACAATTAAGATAATGTTTCCTTTCTGTGTTGTATGTTTCTAATGTGGAAGAAAGATGGTTAGTAACTTAAATAATTAGATGGCTTAGCATATGCTTTTATATTCAGAATTATCACTTACTTAAATATATGTGTTTTCAGACAGGTATGTTATTCTTGGAGGTCATCGGGACTCTTGGGTATTTGGTGCCATCGACCCAACCACTGGGGCGGCTGTACTACAAGAGATTGTCCGGAGTTTTGGAAAAATGATGAGTGGAGGTAAACAAATGAAGTTTGGTGGGGGGGACACAGAATTATGAGAGTGACATATTTCATTTTCTTTTATTTTTAGGCATGATGTACTGGAAAAAGTGCTGGATTTTGTAGTCAGAGGACTTGGGTTCAAATCCCAGTTCTGCCACTCACTACCTTTGGGATGTTGGGCAAGTCACTTAACTTCTCTGGGTCTCAGTTTCCTCATTAGTAAAATGAGGAGGTTGGACTCAGTGCCCCCTAAGGGTCTTTCTAGCTGAAAGTCTTTGATCCTGTGATCTTATGTTTAATTTTAAATTAATGTGTAATTTCAGGCTGGAGACCAAAAAGAACTATTATTTTTGCTAGCTGGGATGCAGAAGAATTTGGATTGTTGGGTTCCACAGAATGGGCTGAGGTAAATAAAGAAGAGACCATTGTTGTCATTTCCTTTGGCAGCAATGAACAAATGTATGTATACCTAAGGAAACTTGCAAATAGCAACTATTGCCTATAAGGTTTTTAATTTCTAGAGTTGCTGAAGAAATTGTTTTCTGTACTCATATCTATTTATTTTGACAGCCTCTGACTAAAGTATTATGTAAAAAAGTGATGTATTTTTTGTTCAAATAATTTAGATTCTATCCAAACTTGTGAAAAATGAGATAAATCATCAACTTCAAAAAGAACAAAAAGCTATCAGGACTAGCTGAGCTACTTTGGACAAGTTAGTTTATTGGTATTCATTCTATATCTTGAGTTACAATTAGAGTTCTAAGAAAAATATGACATGGTTTCTCATATTGATCATTTTTTTTGACTGTAATATTAGCCTGAGGTTCATGGTAGCATTCTAACTGTAGCTGCTCCCTACTTTTAAAAATAGATTTATACATGTATGTTTAAACTCTTTAAAACTGAGTTACATTTTTCCATTGACTCATACTATAATAGGAAGAGAAATGCTTTGTTCTTACTTGTCATAGTTCTTTAGTTGGTGGTGTCAGCTAATGCTTTAGCTGTAAATTCCTTTGTCCTTAGATTCTACTATAGTTAGTGATTTGTGAATACTAAAAGTAACTATATGGTCTTGATTTTTAAAGAAATCCTTTTGTAAAGTGAAGGGAACTTTTATAATACTATTGATTGTCCCCATTGGATATATTTTCAAATTCTAGATATCCATATATTGAGTTTTCTTAAATCAGGACATACCTGTATTGCCATATAGCTTTCTTTTTTTTTTAAACCAAAATGTCAATTTACACCATTATACCCCCATTGAAAGTTATAATAATAATACCAGAAACAAATTTAAATCAGGCTCTGCTAATAGATTTAAAAAACATATCTGTATCTAGACTATGCCGCTTAATTCTTCTGTTACCTTAAATGAGTCACAGCTCTTCTGAGTCCCATTTTCCTCTTCAGTAAAATGAGGAGGTTAGATTAAAGATCCATTTCAGCTCTAAATCTCACTTCTGTTTAAAGGAATGTTAACCATAATTGCTGATGGAGGTCTTGGCTTCTTCTTGACCTTTGGAGTACTGAACTTTAAATATGTGTGTGTGTGTGTGTGTGTGTGTGTGTGTGTGTGTGTGTAAAAGAAAAGAAATTATGTAAACATTATGTAAACAGAAAAAAGCAAAAAAAAACCCCACAATTTTTAGGACCATTATGTGGAAGAGTAATTCTAGTTCATTTGTGTAGTTTCAATGGTCAAATCAAGGAATGGAAGATTATTGAGTGGCAGGTTTTGTTTAGCTCAATATAAGAAAAAAAAAATTAGCAATGCTTTCTGAAAATAGAATGGACTGTCTCATAAGAATTACAGTCACTAAAGGTGGCTCCCAGTTGCTTTTTTCTCCTGGGTGTAAATTGCTCTTAATAATTCAATTCACTTGAATTAAATTCAAAAACACAGAAAGCACCTTCGGTGCAGTATACTAGGCACTATGGATAAGAAGATGAAAAACAATACATTCCCTGCCTTTAAGGAGCTGACAATCTAGTCAGAAGATATAACATGTATATATTTAACCATTTTATAGTTAATAATGGGGTTGATAAGAGGAATCAGAGAGAACATAAAAAATAAAAATATTCATATATAAATTGTTATACAGTTTTTAATAGGGTTGGTCCACATAGAAGAGATTAGAAAGAATGTAATATAGAATAACGAAAATATTCATTCTTAGAGTCTTTTTTTTACTTTATGTATCATTTGTACTATGTTCTAGATACTGTGATTAATTAATACGTACAAACATCATCTAGTATTTTCCTACTCAGTCAATATTATAGGTATCCCATTGACAACTATCACCTTGACGTTGTGAGAAACACTTTTTTCGCCCTATATTTAGCCATGTTTTCTTTCCACTACTTCCCCCTTCCCAATTTTGAGGAATAATAAATATTTTTTTCCCCTCTAGTGGAAATGGGCTTGCATGGTTGTCTGGAGCTGTTCAGGAGGATTAATAAGAAAAATTGATAAGACCCTATTTGCTAAAAGATAGGGATAAAGACTGGTCCTGTGACTTCACAGTTACGTAGGCAACTAGCAAGTGGGGAAACTTCCTCCCAATGCAGATTTCAGAACCTTTTCTGCAACTCAGAGTCTTAAAGAGTTACCTAGAACACATAGAAGTTATGATTTGCCTAGGCCATATAATATAGCTAGTATGTGGTAGAGGCAGGGCTTGAACCCAGGCAGGTCTTCCCCACTTGGAGACCAGCTCCCTGTCCATTACATAGGCCTGACTTTCTTTGTCAGAAGGGTTGCCTAAAAAAGTCTATTTACTAAAAAAAAATTTTTTTTGGAAAGCTTTTTCAGGTAGAAAATGAAAGCTCTAAACCACAGCTACAACTGTACTAGGTAGATTTTATTCTATCAGAATCCTTGGGGGAATGAGGAACTTTGGAAATTCTTAATTTATAGGGGTATTGACTGACTGTTCTTCTGAAGTAACTCAATTATTTTGTATACATTTTCTTATATGGTAATGACTAAGAATAAAGTAACAACTTTACCTCAACTATAGGAGAATGCAAAAATACTTCAAGAGAGAAGCATTGCTTATATAAATTCTGACTCATCCATAGAAGGTAAAATTTATTTCAGATAAGTAATTTCATCTTTTAGGTTCTGAAGTATTTGCTAGTGCACCATCTAAGCTGTCCTTTTCATGTGACCTGTTTGCTATTGCTATCTTTGTTTCTCATTTTATTAGTTAAATGATACACAAAAGCAATACCTTTGGTAGACTCAATATTCACTGGTCCCTCCTTGTTTACTAAGTACATTGTCCAACTGTATTTCTGGCAGTGCAGATATTGTAACAGTTTCCTTCCACGTTTTAGTCTTTTGGGAAACATTGCATGTATTGTTCATTAAAGCACAAGAAAATATCTCACAAAGATCCTCTTAAATTGGATATAGGTCATTTTGTGGTGGTTGTTTTGTTCCTCCCAAATAAGGGCACTAGATGAAGTTATCTTCCAAATAGCCTAAAGCTCTAAAATGATGAGTCTAGAGACAAGTCAGACGAACTTTGGTCTTCAAGTTGTGGTGATTGTCAAAATATACAGGACCTCCCAAAAGTTTTCATGCAGATTACAACATCGAAAGCTTAAAACTGCACTGAGACTTGAACACCCAGTATAATTACCCCCTTTACTCTGGTTATTTAAGAAATTATCTGGGATTCTTTGTTTGTTTGTTTTTTTATGTTTCAGTCCTTGGCTTCTGTCTCCTACTTATGAACAATCCAGTTGTAGGAAAACTGGCTTCAGCCCTCCTCCAGCCTTTTAGACATTGCTGACCAAGTGCTACCTAAGTCCCAGTAGTGTTCCTTCTTTCCAATATATCCCCCATAGGAACCTCCTGTGCTGAAGGCTTTGTAATCCCAGAATCCCCCTGGGAACTACTAGAATAAGAATGTTTTTTCTTTGCTCCTGGTCCCAACCTGTATTGCTAGAGCTTGCCCTCAGGCTGTACAGCTGTGTCCTCATTTCCCTTTCCTGAGCAAAGAAGACTTAATTTCTAAAAGTATTGAAATATGCTTATAATTAAAACATTGGAAAATAAAGTTAGAATTGTAAATAATGATATTTAATTTGCACATATCTTTGTTTCTTTCTCAGGCAATTACACCCTTAGAGTGGACTGCACACCCCTTCTCTACAAATTGGTTTATAATCTGACAAAAGAGGTATATAAATGAATCTGTCACAAAATATCAGATGAATTAAATTTATCAAGCATCTATTAAGTACCTATTGTTTTTAAGGCTTTCTGCTAGGAACTGGGGATTAAAAAAAGTCTCTTCTATTAAGTACCTATTGTTTTTAAGGCTTTCTGCTAGGAACTGGGGATTAAAAAAAGTCTCTTCCTTCAAAGAACTTATTATTAAGTCACTATGTAATTGGGAATATACATATTTTATTTAAGGTTCTTATATTTGAGTGAATTATTTTAAAATCATGACAGTTTGAAATACAGAAACTATACCAATAGGCGTTTGATGTGCCTGGCTGCAGTTACAATGAATCAGTGTGAAATAAAGCAAGCATTTCTCTGCTTTCACAGTTCAACTTTGGTACTTCCCTCTAGTCAACAAAACATTAAGAAATTGTGTTTTATGTGTCCCTGTCGCAAATTGTGAGTGATCTCCCTAGTCTTTCTCTAGGCAATGATAATGCATGCAATCATATTGTATATTCAGCCTGACAGTTGTCATGTAAAGAAAAAGCAGAGTGAGAGGTTCATTAGACACTGAACTTCATGTCAGGATGTCTGGGTTTGAGTCTTGACTCTGATCTTTGTCACCTCTATAAGCTTGGGGAAAACAGTAATTTAATCTCATCAGACTTGTTTCCTCATCTATAAAACAGGCAGGACAATACTTGCTTTACCTCCCTCACTGGTAGGAAATTGCCTTATAAACCTGAAAGCTTGTTACAAATGAAAGTTGTTGTCAGAGGGAATACTAAACAAGACTTGAATTCTATTCCTGACTCTAAGCTAAGTGGCTTTGGACAGATCACTTAACAACTTTGGGTCTCAGTTTCTCAATCTATAAAATGGCCCAAATTGCTTGCCCTAAGATCTTTTGATATAATGGAGATGAAAGTGTTTTGAAAACAGTATAGGACTGTTAGGTAATTTACTTCATTTAATATTGCCATTCATTATTTAGTAGTCATCAGGTATATGAAGGCCTCTGTAGCTCGGTGGTGCAGTCAAGAAGACTAAGTTCAAAATCTGGCTTCAAGACAGTTACTAGCTGTGTGACCCTGGGCAAGTCACTTAACCCTGTTTGCCCAAGTTTCCTCATCTGTAAAATGAGCTGGAGAAGGAAATGGCAAATCCCTTCAGTCTCTCTGCCAAGTAAACCCCAAATGAGGTCATGAAGAGTCAGATGTGACTAAAATGACTGAACAACAACAACAAAATATGAAGACTTGCTGTAGTGCTTTAAGAATCTGTGCTTTTGTCAGGATATAGGTACTCTGTCAACATATTGTAGCCCTTCTAAGACTAAAGAGAGTTTTCATCTAAAAAAATTTATTGGTTTTCTTTTTTAATCACATTCATTACTTGATATATCCTTCACTTCTTCCCTACCCAGAGAGCTGTCCTTTAAACAAAAGATATAAAAGAGAAGGAAAAAAGTTCAACAAAACTAATCCAACATGTCCTTCAAGTATGATAATATATGTAGTGTTCCACAGGTATAGGTCTCCTACATCTGCAAACTCTTCAGGTCCAAACTTGGTGTCTTACAAATGCACAGCATTCAGTTTTGATTTTGTTATTTTTTTCCATTTATATTATTATGGCCATGTCATACATGTACATACATATATATACATATATATATATAGTTGTATATATGCAGATGTGTGTATATATTCATATATACATGTATGTGTTTATGTGTCAACAGTATTACAAACTGAAGAGCTGTCAATGAGAAGTCAATGAATGAGGACTGAGAAAAGTTCATCTGATTTTGCATTTGAGAAATCATTAGTGAGACGCCAATTCTCAGTGCCCTGGAAAATTCTTAAGGCTCTATGATGTAGAATAACTCCTGAACTGCATTCATAGAGCGAGTTTCTTCATTGGGAGCTTCCTTTGCCAATGAAATCATATCACAAACAGCACTCTTGAAAATTTAAGTGAGGAACTGATGCAAAATGAAGTAAGCAGAACTATAACACCATGTAAAGATATTGTACATATCTTTATGTAGCTGACATAGAGTAATGGACACTGTATTTTGTTAATGTTTTATGAATTTTTTGGTTTGAATAATCATCATCATCATCATCTTCTTTATGTTAAATATTCCCAGTTCCTTCAGTTGATCCTTATGTGGTACGAACTCAAGATCCTTCATAAATCCTGACCTATATTCCTCAGTGTTCTCTAACTCATCAGTGCCGTTCTAAAATGTAACATGCTTTACTGAACATAATACTACCATTGGAGTCTGACCAGGGGTCAAAGTGCAGTGGAACTATTACCTCTTTATTTCTGGAGAATAATACCTCTCAGTACAGTCCAAGGTCACATTAAAAGTATTTTTGTTTGGCTAGAATATCATACATCATCTCATTTTGAACTTGCCATCCACTAAAACTCAGAATATTTTTTTAGATAAACCCATTATACAACCACATCTTCTCATCTTGTACTTGTGATATCAATTTTTAACACAGGCATAAGACTTCTCATTCATTGCTATTCAATTTTATTTTTGTAATTTAGCTAACTGTTTTAGCCTGTCAAGAGCTTCATGTATCCAGATCTTCATGGATGCTGACTTTTTATACTAACTGCAGATTGGGCAAGCATGCTATCTATCCGTTTATCATCTCTGTGCAGATGACTTCAAATCTCTGTATCTAGATTCTGTTTCTCACTTTAGTTTCAAGGTCGCATCACTTCCTGTTATACATTTTCAAATAGATGTCCTGCTAGCATCCTCAATTCAACATAGCCAAAATGGAATTTATCATCTTCCTCCCCTCATCTCAAACTTTTCATTCCTATAAATGCTATTCTATTTTTTGTGAACACCACTATCCTGGCATCTGGATTTTCAGCTTGTGTTGTCTTTGACTTCTGCTTTTCCTGTATCTCTTCTACTTATCCCCTTCTCTTTGTTTACATGGCCACTATCCCAATTGACACCTTTGCCTCTCTGCTGGACTACTGTAATTGTTATTTATTTGCTCTCCCTGCTTCTATTGTCTTCTCTCTTCAATCCATTCTCAACACAGCTGCCTACATAATCTTTCTAAATCCTAAGAGCATGTTAACTTCCCTTCTTAAAAGTCTTCTATGATTTCCTATTGTCTCTAGTATAAAATGCTAACTCCTTCAAGCCGGCATTTAAAGACATCAACATATGGCTTTAGTGTAACTTTTCAAATGTTTCACAGTACTCTCCCTCATGTACTCTGTTTTCCAGCCAAACTGAACTACTAGCAGTTTCCCGAACTCCACATGCCATCTCCTGTCTCTACACCTTTACAGAAATTGTCCATCATACTTGGAATATGCTTCCTCTTTACAATCGCCTTTCAGAATGCTTATCCTTCTTCAATAATCAGCTTGGTTACCAAGAGGATAGAATATCCACAGTCATAGGCCTGTTAGTTTTGCTGAACCCCTTTTTTTCCTCTTTTTTATTTTTCATTACAAGGAATAACTCATAGGTAGGAGAGAGTTAAAACAAAATATTTCAGCAAAATACAATAAAACATTTTTAAAAGAATTCAGGAAAGACTTAAAAGTCACAAGCTTAAAAGGAAACCAAGAAGGTTATAAGTGATTCAGAAAAAGTCACAGAATAATCACACAAAGTGTATAGGATCATGCCTATTTATTATGGCAGCTTTAAAGGCTGAAATGGAAAAAAATCCCAATTACAAACTTGAAATTAGTTGAAAAATCACCCAACTTTTATGAAACTCCATCCCTGTTTTTTTGTTTTTGTTTTTTACAGGAGAATAACACAGTTTGCTCAATCACGATTTTCTATGATGTAAAGAATTTGAAGAGGAGTAGAAACTCGGTAGAGTTAACAATTCACAATTTTAGCAGTGAAGAAACAAAACAGGGTACATTTACTGGTAGCCTATTTGTTGAAATAAGGTGGTGTAGTTGATTAGTCATATCTGACTCTTTGTGACCCCATTTGGGGTTTTCTTGGCAAGGATACTGGAATAATTTGCCATTTCCTTCTCCCGCTGGCTTTATGGATGAGGAAACTGAAGCAAGCAGGGTTAAGTGATTTGCTTAGAATCACACAGATAGTAAGTGTCGTGAGTACGAATTTGAATTCAGTTCCTCCTGACTACAGGGCCAGCATGCTATATACTGCATCACCTAGCTGCCCTAAAGAGAAGATAAGAAAATACTGTTATGCCTGATTTAAAATTTATGATGTATTAGTAGGTACTATTTAGGTATTGTTTGCATGTCAAATTTTTAATTAGTGAAATATGTATTTGGATTTTTAATAGTATTTTATTTTTCCAATTACATGTTAAGACAAACTTAACATTCATTTAAAATTTTTTTTGAGTTCCAAATTTTCTCCCTTCCTCCTTCATCTGCCTCATCCCTAAGAAAGTTAACAATTTGATATAGTTATATATGTGCAATCATATAACACATCTTTCCATATTATTCATGTCATGAAAGAAGAAACCAACCGAAAGAATAAAACATGCAAATAATAAAGTGAAAATGGCATGCTGCAGGCTGCATTGAGACTCTGTCAGTTCTTTCTCTGAATGTGAATAGCGTTTTTCATCATGAGTCCTTTGGAATTGCCTTGGATCATTGTATTGCTTGGAATAGCTAAGTCGTTCATAGTTGATCATTGTACAGTGTTCCTGTTACTGTGTACAAAGTTATCCTGGTTCTGCTTACTTTCCTTTGCATCAGTTCATATAAATCTTTCCAGGTTTTTCTGAAATCCACCTGCTTATCATTTCCTATAGCACACTAGTATACCATTATATTCATATACCACACCTCATTAAGCTATTCCCTAACTGATAGGCATGTTTTTAATTTTTTTCCACCGTAAAAAGAGCTACAATAAATATTTTTGGATAAGTAAATTTTTCCCCTTGTTATAGGATCTCTTTGGAATACAAATCTATTGCTAGATAAAGGGTATGCAGTTTG